GAGACTAACATCTTGTGAATAGCATTTGTCTCATTTTCTCCTAAATGCAGTACTTTGTGTTTGCTCACATTGAAGCTCATCTGTCACTCCTTCACCCAGAAATACAGATGGGACTCTCCTGCCAGTTTTGTATTGACTTAGAATTTCACCATTTCAAAATGTACAAAAAAATCAGTATCTCTATCTATGTAAAATTTATTGCTACTATGTGATGGGCACTGTTCTAATTTATAAACATTAATATATTTAATGAAACTAATCCTGGTCCCACTTTGAGGGCTCTCACTTTATATTTCATCAACCTCCTCTATCAGGAGTTTCTTTTCCTAACCTAGAGACTGTGGGAAGAACTTAGGAAGTGTGTGAATTTGGATGGAAAAAATACGTTTAGATTTTCACTAACCTCTAACTGAAGTTTAGAGTTTTCTTCCATTATAAATGTAAGTAAACAAAGTACAGAAGTATTAGCAGGACCTGTGACTTTTTCACAAGTATCACAGATATTATCATATCACAAGTTATTGCAGATTTTTTGAAATATTTATGTTTATCTACTTCAGAATTATAGTAATTAGACCTGTCATTGCACGTTGCTATTTAATGTGTTATAGGAGCACATACGCTACTATGTCACACATGTGTTTTGATAACGGTATTATTTCAATACAGTTGGTTTCCTTTGTATTTTATTTCATGTATTTAAAAATGTTATTCTGATAGAGAGTTCACAGGCTTCACCAGATTTCCCAAGGGGTACATGGCACCAAAAATTAAGAACCCCTCCTTTATACTCTCTCAGCCATACAAGGCAGAGGCTCTGAAGGGTGGTGGAAATCGGGAGGACTCAGAGGAGTCCTGCATTCTCACTCCAGCTCCACCATCCACGTAGCTGTGTGACCTGGGGTATGGCTTTTCTCCTTCTGAGACTTGTTTTCCTTCATGGCAATAATGGGGAGGGAACCATCTGCCCCTGCAGGGTGTTGTGAAGATCAGATGACATAATGCCTGTGTACAGAGTTGGTTTGAAAACACTTTGAAGCACAATGTGAGGTATTTGTTGAGGAGTATTAATGAGTTAAGGTTGCAGAGGTCTGATGCCCCAGAGATCTATCAAGTTTAGGGTAAAATCTAATATTCAAACAGAGTTGGAGTGAGCACAGTTAGGTAAAGAACACTCTTTCTTATGTCCTGCATCCATTTTCTACCCAAGATCTGAGATCATCTCCATAAGGTTATACAGCCTTGAATGCTTGTACTTGTGTGTGATCAATTCCTTTTCCTTCCCTCTGTTGCCCTAAGCAATTGCTTCAGTATGCCTTTGAGATCTTCCACCCAGATAGAAAATTTAGGCAAGCTGAGATCTTCAAAGCTTCCTGCCAAACTGGAAGAATGGAATGGTGTTATGGATCTTGGGATATGGGAAAGAAGATTAAGCCCCCTCTGGCCGCCTTGTTTATGACATGTGGTCTGTCCTGTGATAGGAGGGGTAAAATTGGAAGGTTACTGGAGACTGTATCATAAGACAGCAGAAGGAAGTTTCTTCCTTATGTCAGGCTTGGGCCAGGCATTACTTACCTCTGATGGAGCATCGTTCAGTAAAATCTCCTGAATTTTTCTGAACCAGCCAGTCTCATTCTTCTTTTGAGTTACCTGTGGCCCTATGGGATTCCCAATACTGGAAAGGTAGCTCTGGTGTCATTAAAGCATTGTTAATATGATTATTAGTTGAATAATTATTATAGCTCCTTATTGAGTATGTATTTTGCCAAGCATAGTTAGTAATGGGCACTTTGCACTGAGCAAAGCCTCTTAAATGACCCTTTGAGGGAAGTACACTTAGATTTCCACTTTATAGATGAAAAAACAAAGGCTCAGAGGGGTTAAGTGACAGTGTTAGAAAGTGGCCTTGGGGACCATGGTATGATAGAGAATAAATTGAAGCCAGGCAGATTGGGCTCAACTCCTAGACTTTGTCACATACTAGCTGTTTAACCTTTCTGAGCCTGTTTTCTCCTCTTACCATATTTCACACTTCCTGACATTTGCGAAGCCTTCCTTGATGTCCCTCCTGCAGAACCTTGTACATGACTGTGTCATTTAGCAGGCATCCCCACCAGAGTGTCCACTCTTGAAGGAAGAGGTCATATTTTGTTCCCTTTTGAATTTCTAGGACCAAGGCTTGTACATACCAGGTTCTCTATAATGGCATGTGAATGTATTGAATACAACGTAGGGTTTGTAATAATTCTTAGCAATTGGGTTGATATGGAGGTTAAATAAGATACTGGGCCATTAGAAAGTTTTGAGTTTTCAGTTGGGCAGACCAAAATTCAAATCTCATCTCTGCCTTTTAGGAACTTCTCAACTCAGAGTCTCAGCTGAAACAAGGAAGTGCTATCTACGTTTGTTTCACAGTTGTAGTAAACTATGAAGGATTTAAGCTCAGTGTGTTAAAGCCTACCCTTCTAGCTCCCTGAGGGCAAGGGCCAGCCATGCTCCTTTTTTTCTTTTTTACATCTTTATTTAAGTATAATTGCTTTACATTGTTGTGTTAGTTTCTGCTGTATAACAAAGTGAATCAGCTATATGTATACATATATCCCCCTATCCCCTCCCTCTTGCGTCTCCCTCCCACCCTCCCTATCCCATCCCTCTAGGTGGTCACAAAGCACCAAGCTGATCTCTCTGTGCTATGTGGCTGCTTCCCACTAGCTATCTATTTCACGTTTGGTAGTGTATATATGTCCATGCCACTGTCTCACTTCGTCCCAGCTTACCCTTCCCCCTCCCCGTGTCCTCAAGTCCATTCTCTACGTCTGCGTCTTTATTCCTGTCCTGCCCCTAGGTTCTTGTATACCACAGTGTCTGGCAGAGTGCCTGGGACTGAGTTAATGTTCCGAATATGTTTAAACAGCTGAATTTCCTTTCTTGAGGCCTAGCAACATGATGTAGCCCACAATTCTAGGTGTGAACACAAAAACATTTTTCTTAAAATGAGAGCAAGGTCACGACTCTTAATTACTTTTGACTGAACCATAATTATAAAATCATAACTCTTTATTGTGAATGCACTCTGGGCTAGGCACTGGCTGAGCCATTTTCAGGTACTATCTTATTGAATCTTGACCACCACTCTCTGGGGAAGGTACTATTTCTCCTTAATTTAAAAAATGGAAGCTCCCATTGTGTCCACAGGTGGTAAATGACTTTAGGCAGCATGAGAGCATAACAGTTGCTCAGTAGATGGTAGCAGTTGTGGTGAAAAGTGAATCCAGGTCTTTTTGATAGACTGTCCAAGACAGCTAAGAATCCGAAGGGCTCACCCAGTCCTACCAGGTGAGTCAAAAGGTCTTGCACATCTATGCTGTCTTTTCAAGTAACAGTTTATTCTGCATTATGTGAAAAGCATACATTTTGGGGCACAATTAAATATGAAACACTGTATAACTTGAACACAGATATGCGTCCAAGATTTGCTCTGAAAACTAACTTTTCCATTTGCATTGAAGACATTTAACAAGCAACTTGGTAATATTAAAAAATCAGAACTGGTGATGTCACAGGACTAGGAAGGGAGATGAAATAATCATTTGTAAAATAAAAGAATGCTTCTATTCATTATTATCTGGAAAAATCTAACTACTGTATCTCCTAAAAATAACAAAACAGTAAAATTTCAAAATTCAGGAGGAACAACAGAACAATAAATAGCATTTGTAAGGAAAAAATAGCTTCTTTAATAGATTTCTATGGTGAATGAAAAGGATTGTGAGAGATGGTATGTGCTGCAATTTGATTATGTAATATAATGCAAACATACTCTATTTTTTTAACACTGCTGTAGCATTCTCCTTTACTCTTTTTTAAAATACATCTTTATTGGAGTATAATTGCTTCACAATACTGTGTTAGTTTCTGTTGTACACCAAAGTGGATCAGCCATATGCATACATATGTCCCCATACTCTATTTTTATACATTTTGAACAACTCTGGACTAGTGCGTTAGGACTTTCCGAAGAAACAGAACCAATGGGATGTATATGTACATACATACATATATATATGTATATATCTGTATGTGTATACACATATGTATATATGTGTGTGTGTATAAATATATATATATATATATGTATGTATGTATTTATTTTAAGGAATTGGCTGACGTGATTTTGGGTGCTGGAAAGTTTGACATTTTGCGGGGCTGGCTGGCAGTCTGGAAATTCTGGCAGGCGTTAATGCTGCAGTTTTGAGTCCAAAGCAATCTGGAGGCACAATTCTTTTCTCCTTGGAGGACTTCAGTCTTTTACAACTGATTGGATGAGGCCCACCCACATTATGGAGGGTAAGATATGTTGCTCAAAGTCTACTGGTTTAAATGTTAATCACATCTCAAAAATACCTTCACAGCAACATCTAGACTGGTATTCAACCAAGCAACAGGGCACTACAGTGTAGCCAACTTGACACACAAAATTCACCATTACAACTAGTATATTCAAGCAGGCTGGGAGAAGTACACCTGGACTAAGTTGGCAGGAATAATAGGAAGAAAGCATTTGTACTACAAGTAGATCGAGTGAAGGAGAGCAAGGGGCCTGGGTGTGGCAGTTGCTTTAAATGCATTTTATTTAACTTATTTAAATAAGAAATAATTGTTAAGTGGCAAATTTCCCCTATTTCATAGGTGTTATTAAAACAAGGTATTGCACGACCCCTGAGACTGATGAATCAAAGCCTGTAGCGTTGATGACAGAGATGCTTCATTGAGGAAGCTACTGTAAGAATAACCCTTGCTTCCTGCTGGTGCCACAGCTGGTTGCTTAGGGGGAAGCCAGCTTTCAGCATGAATGGGCTGCTGTGGAATCCTGTTTTCTAGCTGTCAAAGCAGAAGGTTTAGCATCTTCTTCCAATATTCTGGTAACTCAAAGGAAGAAATTGAGATGATTTACTAAAGGATTACTTAGAGAGCAAGCGATTCAAAACAGGACGCCAAACTGAGGTATAAAAAAGGAATATTTATCTTTTAAAAATACAACTTTGAACACTACTGACATGTGATTTACAAAGTATTTTTGTGAAATACTCTTCACTGGCTTTGCTTAGTACATTCTCTTATTTTCAATCAAGACTCAAGGGAGGGCATGCTTATGTTATTACAAGCACCACCAACACCACAGAAGAAAAGACCATCTCTGCCTCAGGATATTAGTCCCCAGTTCTCATCCTTTCCATTTCTTTTCCATCAGCCAGGACTTCCTGACTGGTCCACGCACACTCTGCCATTGTAATCTGCTGGTGGGCACCGCAGAACTAGAGGAGTGCCAGTTCTCAGGACTCTAGGTGGAGCCGACCTATTTGTGCAAAGCTTCACACACCCTAGCCTACTATTTATTCATTACCAGGAATTTTCTATTAATACTCATATCAACTCTTTGCAGACATTCAGCATGACGTAAACATAGTATTTACAGCAGTACATGGTTTGCAATTCAACACACTGACAGCAGAAGAAAAGGGACCACCAGACTTTGTAAGAAGACCAGAGGGGAAGCATATCAAAATAAATCCCTTCTGCTAATGTGTGTGTGTGTGTGTGTGTGTGTGTGTGTGTGTGTGTGAGCACACACATGTGTTTTAATTCATAGAAAACTAAACATGCCCTCCTTTAAAAGCAGGCTATTTACAAAGTGACTCTGAATACCACATACACATGCCAGTCATACTAGACACTTGCTTTCTGTGAATACATCTAGTTTTTTAAAAATTCTGAAATAAACCTTTTATCTGATACATTAGAGAAAATAACTTTGAAACATTTGTCAACTTTTCGTTCACAGTAATTTTGTAAAAAGCCACAAACCATGCTTTGTCTTTTAAAAGGTGAACCTGGTCAAGCACCTTCTAGAAGACACTGATATGTTATTCACTTACTGGCCTACTGGGAATTGGAAAGACAATGTCAGTTATGGAGTCCCTAGTGCTCCTCACATTCCTCTCACCAGTAGCAACATTAATGTGAAGAGAAGTTCTGAAACACAAATCACATATAAATCATCAAAACATTTCAGTTAACAGTGTTTAAAAAATACTAAAGTCTACAACAGTAGTACAGACACTGAAAACACCCCAAATACTCTGTAGCCTCAGGCCTTTTTAAATACTACTAATAAAAAGAGACAACCAATTGACAGAAAAGGAGGAAGTTACAGCACTTGAGGTTTGAGTCAATTTCTTTACAGGGCCTGTAGCTTGAGGTGCTACTCTAGGATCCTTATTTTAAGTCAAAAGATATTCCAGGAATGAACTGACAAATTTAAAGCAATTTCCACTTGAAAACCATTGAAAATACAAATCACTTTCTAAGCTTGTCCAACACACATTTATTTTCAGGATCCCAGGTTGTCAGGCAAAGGGATTCAGGTCAGTTTCAAGCCCTCAAAGCCACAGAATTTCCATCTCTTCTCCAGACTGGCTCCAACTCCAGTCATTTCCTGCTTGAAGGTATGCTGGAGTCTGCTCATGAGACATTCTACATCACTGGTACAGATCTGTGGGACAGAGAGGACATCTCCATTCAGAACCAGTCCCACCTTCCTAATCTGGCTTCCCCCCCCCCAGTGTTGCTTTAGAATGCTGACACGCACGTGTGTGTGCTAGGCGTGGGGTCGACCTTCCCCTCCCTGTGTGTGTGTATGTGTCGGTTGAGTGGATTACAGATGGAAGCCTTCTTCTGCTTGGACCGCCTGAGTCCACTGAAATTTCTTTTTGTTTCTGTATTTCATAACTGCTTTATTTAGGCATAATTTACATACAATAAATTCACTTATTTTACATGTACACATTGACGAATTTTAGTAAAGTTATACAATAGTGCAACTGTCACCACGATTCAGTTTTAGAACATTCCATCACCCCCCCACAAAGGTTCTTTTGTGCCCCTTTGCAGTCAATCTTTACTCCCAAACCCTGACTCAGATTGTTTTCACTGTGATTTTGCAGTTTTTGGAAATTTCATATAGCGTAATTGTACAATATATAGTCTTTTGTGACTAGTTTCTTTCACTTAGCATGATGTTTTTGAGATTGATCGCCACCAAGCTTTCTCTGGGAAAGAGCTGGTGTCGGTCATGCGGAGAGGCTTGGGTCTGCAGCCAGCTGAATGATGGCTTATCAGTGCTGGTGATGTTACGTTCAGGCCCACTGAAGCTACAAAGCCTTTGGGGAAGAGAGGGAGGCAGAAATGGCTGCCACCAGAGCAGAAGTCTTCACACCCGTCTTAGTTCACAAAGGAAAAGTGACAGGAATAGAGAATGCTCTGTGTTCCTGCTTCTCTGCTCCCTCTCCCCACTCCCCTCTCTCTCTCTCTCTCTCTCTCTCTCTGTCACACACACACACACACACACACACACACACACACACACACACACACACACCCCAATATAAAAACAAAAACAAATCTGTTGACCCTTAGGGTTTGCTTCATCTTTATGTTAGTAGCATAGTAGCAACTTTCCTAACTGTGAACCTGGATACTAGGGCTTGGCTGAAGAGCACTATGGGATCCTTAAAGAAATCCCAAGTTGCTGTCACAGTAAATATTTATAAAGGTGGTAGAAGGGACCCCCCCAAATTCTTATAGTACCATTGCAGGCTCTCTTTGGGAGGCCCTGGTACTACCCTGGCAGGAAGCTGCTCAAGAGGAACTGGCACTAGACTAGGAGTGAGGTCATGCCTTCTCCCCAGTGCTAGTAGTGAACTGTATCCAGTTAAGTGAATGAAGCACACTGCACAATATCATGTAGAGTTGAATCCCCATTTCAAAAAACATAAATCTATAATGCTTATAGATATATACATACAATATAGGTGCAGCAGATGTATAAAAAAGTGTCTGAAATAAGATATGCCAAACTGTTAACAATGGTTATCCTTGAGAGATGTGACTGTGGGGAACTCTCCCTTTGCCTTTACTGTAGTTCTATATTGCTTACATTTTAAAGAGAATATGTTTGCATTATTTTTGCAATTAAAAAAACCGGATCGTTTTTACTGACACAGAGTTCAGTTTCAAACCACCTCAACAGACCACTTGGTCCTGGTGCTCACATTGAATCCCTCCCTTCACTGCCAATGGGTTGGCCGCTTAATTGCAGAATAGCATCACTTCCCAGAGATAAATGCCAGGCAAGTGCTAGCTAAAACTAAAACAAATGCCGTGAGGAGGATGTATCACCACAGCTGGATTACCAAATGGGCCAGTGCCTCTGTTAAGAGGATATATGCTTATGTACCACAATGTTCATTGCAGCTCTATTCACAATACCCAGGACATGGAAGCAACCTAAGTGTCCATCGACAGACGAATAGATAAAGAAGATGTGGCACATATATACAATAGAGTATTACTCAGCCATAAAAAGAAACAAAATTGAGTTATTTGTAGTGAGGTGGATGGAACTAGAGTCTCATACAGAGTGAAGTAAGTCAGAAAGAGAAAAACAAACACCGTATGCTAACACATATATATGGAATCTGAGGGAAAAAAAAAGGTCATGAAGAACCTAGGGGTAAGATGGGAATAAAGACACAGACCTACTAGAGCATGGACTTGAGGACATGAGGAGGGGGAAGGGTAAGCTGGGACGAAGTGAGAGAGAGGCATGGACATATATACACTACCAAACGTGAAGTAGATAGCTAGTGGGAAGCAGCCGCATAGCACAGGGAGATCAGCTTAGTGCTTTGTGACCACCTAGAGGGGTGGGATAGGGAGGGTGGGAGGGAGACACAAGAGGGAGGGGATATGGGGATGTATGTATATGTATAGATGAATCACTTTGTTATAAAGCAGAAACTACCACACCATTGTAAAGCAATTATACTCCAATAAAAATGTTAAAAGAAAAAGAGGACATATGCTTAAATGGCTTAACATTTTGGACATCTAACTGTCAGAAGTCTGCATTCCAATGGCACTTCTCAAAAGGCCCAGATCCTATGAAATAGTGAGTACAATCCATGAGCAGCTTTAACTGAATGCTGCTTCTGAACAAATTGTATCATGAGTTTATTTATTCTGAGGGGTCAAGAGTCCCCTCCTGCCTATATGAGGCAGGCATCCTTGACTTTCCAGGGAACTGGCACTTACCCTTGCTCCTGATGCTTTGTGAGCTCCCCCACAGGATAGCATTCAGGGAAGGAATTGGCCCATGAGATCAGCTGTGAGCAAATATGCAGTCTGTATTACAGACTTATTGTTCCAACTTTTTTTGTCCCTGCCTTGATTGTGTCATTGTAGATAATGGCAGTGCTAATGGCTAAAGGCCCAGGGCAAAAGTTTGACTGGTGAGAAATATTTGTTAATTAGCATATGATATGTAAAGTAAAAGGAGGAAAATTCTTCTAAGATATATCTTGGAAGTAGGGTGGCCAATTCATTCAGGTTTGCCCAGGACTTCCCCGGTGTCAGCGTTAGAAGTCCCAAGTCTCAGGAAACCCTTCAGTCCCAGGCAAACAGGGACAGACGGTCACCCTATTAGCAAGAGAGAAACTTTATGCTGAATCACAGTGAGAGAATAGGTGAGGGAAATTTCCTTACAGTGATTGCTAATGACTTATTTGTGCTTGAGGGGAGTGAGGCCACCTGTTCACAAAGAACCCTACATGGCCTTGCATGGCCATCTCAGGCCCCCACATACCTTATTATCAAGACGGTGCAAGTAGGAGCAGATATATTCAATGCTTGCTCCAAATGGGTGGACATGAAGGAATGTGGAGATAATCCCTATAGAGACAATAGCATGGAGGTTACACTTGAGCATTGTATTCGTTGAGATGCCACATGATAGCGTCTAGCAAGAGTCAACTCATATGTACATCGTATTATGTATTGGGCACTATTCTAAGTTTATATATATTTTACACATTTAATCTTTACAACGACCCTGTGAGGTAGGTATTACCTACCATCCCCATTTCACAGATGAGAAGACACTGAGCCACAGAAAGTTTAAGCAAATTGCCCAAGGTCACACGGCTGGTAAGTGGCAGGTATTTGAATCCAGACAGTTGCTCTCAACCACTATGTGTACTGCCTCTCACTGCACTATACCGCATGCAGAAAATCTGGCATTTGAGGAGTCACTTCCATCATTCATGATGGCTAAACGCCATTTGAGTTCTACGTTTTACAATGAATTTAGACTTTTACAATGACTTTAGATTGTGCTGGGTTTTTGCAGTTCCTCTGAACCATCTTTAAATTGGATTTTAGCCTCTTATGCATTTAATAATGTCTTGCTGTTGTGGCAAAAGTACAAATCATGTACTTTGCCTGATTAACCTTGTGCCTCTCACAAGAGAATCTGCTGATTGTATTTGGGTGTTATTCCGTGAGTAGGTCTGTAAAGAAAAGCCAAACATTTCCTTCATTCAAGTGGTGACTAGCATTCTGTTTGTCCTCAGAGCCCTGAATCTCTTCAAGTAACAGAATTCTTATAGCAATTTACAGCCTCCAGGGATGTGCATGATTTCTAACTCTGGAGTGATTGGCAGCTACACATATTGCCTTGATTATTCTGGCCACCAGGTTAATTGTGCTAATACTACTTCTTTCTCTGGCAACAGGCAGCATATAAATTGTTCAAAAGTCTACTATTTTTTCTTTATTTTTTTTTGAATTCATCTCCTTTCATAAGATCTTAGGTATATCAAACAGACCCAGAACTTAGTTTGCTGAAAACTGCCAGGAAATAAAAGCTAAATTTGATTTGGTTTATAAACTATGACTTGTCTATATCCCTTTAAGCACCTGACAAAGAATATCACAAGTTTAAATTGTAGCTTAAAGTTCAAATAAGTTCTCTGTAAAAGTCCTCCAATATTAGATGGCAAGCGGGTGGGTTGGAGGATCCAGGAGGAACTGATGGTAGGGTTCAAAACTTTATTCAAAATGGATACTATTACTTATAACACTACTTTACTCTTTTTTTTTTTTTTGCGGTACACGGGCCTCTCACTGCTGTGGCCTCTCCCGTTGCGGAGCACAGGCTCCGGATGCGCAGGCTCAGCGGCCATGGCTCACGGGCCCAGCCGCTCCGCGGCATGTGGGATCTTCCCGGACTGGAACATGAACCCGCGTCCCCTGTATCGGCAGGCGGACTCTCAACCACTGCGCCACCAGGGAAGTCCTACTTTACTCTTAAATGACTTGGTAAATTGAATTTCTAAACACTGACTCAAGCTGAGAAACTTAAATTCTGAAGAAGACAGTCCATATTCAAAGGAATTCTAGATACTATGGTCAAGAAATCCTGTCAAATGCCAAGAAGTAACTCCATAGCTTTCAAAATACGAAGCAGTTTTTGTGGGTTCACACCCAAATAACCAATTTAAAAAATAGATTTTCCTTTCTGTGAGTTCAAGACTACTTTCTTTAAAAAGAAAAACACTAAACACTTAAGAATCTTTGTTTCTAGAACTATCCATTTACAGAGGTTTCCTCCTACCCATAGCTCTTCTCTGACAGGTCTCCCTGTTGCCATGCCAATTTGTTAAAGAACTTTGAGTTCGAAAACGGAAATAAGTTGTCACTCTTCTTGAAGACTCACTGGCAGATCCCCCTGTGCATCTTTATTAACATATCAAAGTGTTAAATCTGAGTACAATATCCATTACTGAAGGAGGCGGATACATCTTTAAAATATGCAGAAGCTAATTAGTGTGGAGAACTTTTGAGATTGGGGTGAGGCTACAGTGTGGCTCAGCTTCCTAGAAGGCAGCTGGGATTATCTGCTGAGGCCCAAGATTAGCCCCTTTTAAATGACTGAATATTTTAGTCATTTTAAAGGGGCTCAATCTGCCACTGTTCTCCAAATAGAATATAAAGTCAACAAGCATTTGTGAATAGTGCTGTAAGTGCAAAATGTTTCTCATTTATTGAGGGCTTACTATGGGCTGGGCACTGTGTTTAGTGATTTAGATGAATTGTCGTATTTAATACTTGCAGCTACTTTTAGACAGGTAATATTATGATGCCCATTTTGCAGACGGAAGAACTGAAGCTCAGGATGAAAATGGTGGGGTCAAGACAGAAAGCTAGTTCTGTCTGATTCATTAACCACTTATGCTATCTTGCCTCTGTGAAAAAATTTTTATGTAACGAGAGCAATTGTAGCATTTATCTCATCAGAGCCCACCAGGGTCCAACACCCCACAGACAGCCTCCTGAGTCACCTGCCAGTAACCTGGAAAGACAGGAGAGAGACACACACCTTCTCCGGAGGCCCATCTGGAGAAGCTCTCTGCCAAACAATGTCTGCACTGTCCCTTGAGTGGGAGTGAGAGGGCTCACCTATCTTTGCTTAGAGATTTAAAAAATCTACAACGTGTTTCTCCAGTGGACCCCCTCTTAGCATAGCACTTATACTGACACACTGGATGTGGCAGTGGTCACCAGGAGTTTGAAGAGGGCTGGGAGCCGCTATTACCATTTTGATTGAAATCTGTACTTGTTCTTACCCTGTTGTCTTCAGGACTCTGGGTCCTTGCACTGTCATCCTTCATAAATGCTTGGCATGTGCTTATGCATCTTAGGTTAATCCTTCCCCCCACTCCACTGCACTCTATCCATTGAATGTGTGTGTTAGCTTCCTTACCCACTAGCAGTGCTTCGCGTTCAGATTTGATAGGACAGCTGTTCAGGGTCTTCTCCAGAGGGTAGTCACTATCCTGGCTCGATGCACACAGTCTAGAGGCACAGCTTTCCTGTGGGAATAATATGTCTCCTGGGTCAGTGCACCTTATATGGTAACAGACTTGGTTTCAATTATACAACAGGGAACTTCTTAACGGCACCTCGAAAGCAATACTGTGCAATTTTGCTTATTGAATGGGAGGAAAAATAGCATAAATTACAAAAGCATCACCAATAATCCAAAGCTTCCTTATAAGCCTTCAAAACACACACAAAAATTTAGACATTCATCTTCACTAGTCTTTTTTTTCCCTTCTGCCTTTATCATTCTTGACTCTATGCAAGTAGTCTGGGGAACCAGACCCAACATTTATTGTCTGTAAGATGCCAGGTACTGTTAGGTATGTTTTATCTCCATTCTACAGGTGAGGAAAGTGAGGCTCAGATAAATCAGGTAACTTGCCTAAGATCACATTGCTAGAAAATGGTAGAGCCAGGATTTCATCCCAGGCCACCCAATGTGAAAAGGACCATTCTTTTTTTTTTTTAAATTAATTTATTTATTTTTGGCTGTGTTGGGTCTTCGTTTCTGTGCAAGGGCTTTCACTAGTTGCGGCGAGCGGTGGCCACTCTTCATTGCGGTACGTGGGCCTCTCACTATCGTGGCCTCTCTTGTTGCGGAGCACAGGCTCCAGACACGCAGGCCCAGTGGCCATGGCTCACGGGCCCAGCTGCTCCGCGGCACGTGGGGTCTTCCCAGACCAGGGCTCGAACCCGTGTCCCCTGCATTGGCAGGCGGACTCTCAACCACTGCGCCACCAGGGAAGCCCAGGACCATTCTTTTTTATTTTAGGTCCACACTATGCTAAAGGTCAGTCCCATAATGGAATGGAGAATCTACAGTGTAGCCGATCCACTCACAGGTAATCAACTGTTGGCTCTTGAACTAAAAATTAGAGCCTCTATTTATTGACTGTCAGCTCTCTCTCTCTTTTCTCTGATAAGGACATTATCAATTAGGATATTTATGACTTTACAGCAAGAAATGACCATGACAGTGGACTTCTTTGTTGTTGAAAGTTTCCTCTTTCTGAGCATAGTGTGTATGTTTCATAAGAGATACTCAGGTGAAATCCATGACCAGCAGCCAAACTGAAAAATGCCTCCAGACCGTTCTCGGGATTTTCTTTCTCTCTTTGGGTACTGAGAACATCTTTTCTGTATTATAAATGTGAAGCAGGAGCCTTCAGAAGAAGGAATAAAAGAAATCAGTGCTTCAGTCTCACTGCTGTTGTAAAAGAGAGTGCTGGGGAAATGTTCCGGAGCGGGGAGCAGATCATGGATGACTCGGATGCTTCGTCGCTTCTTTCCTTCCAAAAGCCCTCAGCAGGGACAGGTTTCCTTCTTTTTTCTTTAAAGATGCCTTCAAAGCTTCCAGGATGCTGCCCCTGAATGAAACTAATGGTCTTTGCTGCAAGACATGTTGTTTTGTGGATTTACAGGCTTCCAGGCTGTAGTCAGAAGGGAAACCTTTCTTGATGACCTATTCAATCTTTGGTGTTTAGAATCCAATCCAGTCAGTAACCATCATGCCAAGTTTGATTTAAACTGCTGGCTCACTTCTAAGCCACGGGCTGTACATGTGCTTCTAACCCCCTTAAAACATTAAATGATCCAGTAAGCCATTTCTTAAGTGTGAGAGTTTAACAGATTGGGGTTCATTTAAGATATGTAGACATCCTGAGAAGTTTTAGCCATCTTGAATCAAAATGTAGCCTTACTGAAACCTGACTTCAATTTTATTATAGCTGGCATTTAAAAAATTAGAAGGAATATTGAAGGGATGCTTATCACCTTGAATTTTTTTAATAAACAAATACGAAGCTGCTTTATTAAGATACATCATCAATTCAGAAAAAATTAGATCCCCACAAATAAAACAACTAATTTCACAGATGACAGTATTAATCATGAAAAATAATAAAAATAAAACATTATGAATTACTATGAAGCATATTCAACAGTTACATAAAAGAGAGGAATAGTATTTTCCTAAAACTGGAAATAATGGAATGATCTCAGAGTGTTTATAACATAAACTTCATTTAAAGAGAAGCACACAGTTAAAATGTTAAATTAAAAATAAATGAAAAGGAAACAAACTGGAAAAAAAAGTTTAATGGCTCTTTTAAAGGATAGAATGGCCAATAAGGTAGTAGGAAATGGGCGATCAGAATTCAAGGGAGGGTTCATGATATCACCTTGAATTTTACTAGCAGATTCCAAGAGCTAGTTCTTTCTGCAGTAAGACAGACATAAGTCACATTGTTATATTGCAAAACACTGACAATAACTCACACTGTGGTTTACTGTCAAGAAACCCAAACAAAAAGAAAAAATGTCCTTCCTCACCAAAACTTATTGCTTTCCTTTCAACCTGGAATTATTTTTGCAGTCTAATGTGATGGTACTTTGCTTCCTAACCTAATTGTGACAGTTTGAAATATTTGGTCACAAATCAGCTTCCCAGAGAAGATCAGATTATAATGAACTGTCATGACTTTCCCTGAAGGAAACCTCACTTAAAATAACAGGACAGAAACATATTCTGACTCACAGTTTTCTGATTATCAGTTGGATTTCTCTCCCTGTCCTCTTTAGCTGCCACTTCAAGGTATATTTAGTTGCAAATGGGAAACACTTAGACTTAGGTATAATATTGCAAGATTTTTCAATGCCATTTGACCCTTCACTTCTTTAAATGAAATACTTTACAAAGCAGAGAGCTGCTTACACGAAAATATCCTCAAGTCAATTTGTGATGTCAATCCTGAAGAGTGACTTTAAGCTTGATGTCATTAGGATAACCCCACGTTCATCTAGAGTCTTCTGGCTACACTACACACACACTCCATCTTATGCAAGAAGGAAAACAGAGCTAAGTAGCAGCTCTGGGACATTTTAGAAGCTCTGATCGTATGAGGAAAGTCCTGCTAAATAGAGCAGCTTTGGCACTTTTCAATTAAATGCTTGATAAATGAATTTGTCTGGGATTATGCTCATTTCTTTAATAACACCCACAAAACTGGAAAGTGAGTTGGTTTTATGAAGTGGAAAAATTAAAAACATATTGCAAATGGCCTCCAGAAGAAAACACTTCACACTTTCAATCATTTGCTTCAATTACACCAAGGTTGCCAGTTCTTTTTTTTTTTTTTTTTTTGCGGTACGCGGGCCTCTCACTGCTGTGGCCTCTCCCGTTGCGGAGCACAGGCTCGGGACACGCAGGCTCAGTGGCCATGGCTCACGGGCCCAGCCGCTCTGCGGCATGTGGGATCTTCCCGGACCGGGGCAGGAACCCGTGTCCCCTGCATCGGCAGGCGGACTCTCAACCAGTGCACCACGAGGGAAGCCCCCAGGTTGCCAGTTCTTAATGGCACTCTGGGGGAAGTCACTATGCTGGCAAACACACCCAGGGCTCGTATGCATTGCATCTTCCTGCCCTGAGCACAGAAGAGAAATAGCACGAGCTCTTGTGGAACCGTAGAACTGTGGAATTGATTTCTGGCTCTTGGTCTAAGCTCCTAATCTTCTCTCTCTTTTTTTTGTTCTTTGTTATTTTTATTTATTTATTTTTCGTTGTGCTGGGTCTTCGTTGCTACGTGGGCCTTCTCCAGTTGCAGTGAGGGGGGCCATCCCTCACTGTGGCGCGTGGGCCTCTCATTGAGGTGGCCTCTCCCGTTGTGGAGCACAGGCTCCAGGTGAGCGGGCTTCAGCAGCTGTGGCACGTGGGCTCAGTAGTCGTGGCTCGTGGGCTCTAGAGCGCAGGCTCAGTAGTTGTGGTGCACGGGCTTAGTTGCTCCACAGCATGTGGGATCTTCCTGGACCAGGGCTCGAACCCGTGTCCCCTGCATTGGCAGGCAAATTCTTAACCACTGCGCCACCAGGGAAGCCCCCTAATCTTCTCTTTCTTCTGAGACATTAAGTCAGGCAGCTATGGTCAATGGGCCTTTCTTTCCAGAGGATAAGTTAACTTGAATGTTCAGGCATAAAGGAAATTAGAGAGGTGTGACAGGGAGACGCCATCAGTAGACTTTACATACCTTAAATAGACTGGGCACCCGATGCATGGTTGAGATACATTAGTCCATCTAGAAGTTCGCAGACTTTCTCCGAGGTCCTCACTGGAGGTTCTATGGCTGCAGGCTCTCATTAGGCAAAGTCCCATTTTGCCTTCCCAGTTGCTATTATCTAGCTTTAGAATAATGTGTCTCCTTGTTTGCTTTCCAAGTTTCCCCCCTTTTGGTTTTGGCTGTTTCAACCTGCAGCAGCTCATTATTACACTAGATGGAGTGTCGGCAAAGAAATGGCAATGTTCTGTTGTACTTGTGTTCCTTCGTTTAATGAAATGCTTAATTGAAAGTATTTTGTGTCACATGGGCTTTCTATGTTGTTATTTCCTTGACTAGATGAAGCAGGGATGAGGTGTATACTCTGATCTTCTCCAAGAAGGAAGACTGAGGAATGTTAGGGATGGACGGACATTTTATTCATTGAAAAGTATACTCTCCAGAACCTTTAGAAATGCCTCATACCTAAAAGCAGAGCCCTTGATTCAAGAATTACCTGGAGAAGGGCTTTTAATCCCCAATCAATCAACCAACCATTCCACATTGATACCTATTGGTAGGAGCTTCCAGGGCATTTTCATTGTCACTGAAAAGGGGAAAGGGGGCAAGGGAAAAGGGTCACTTAGTACTCATGTACCTTTTCTTTAAGATTTTCCAACATTTTTTCCACCTGTAACTTGTCATCTTTGATTTTTTCAAGTTCAGCTTCTTTCCGTTTGTATTCCTCTTGGACTTTGAGTAGATGCTACAAGAAAGACCAAAGACAATCAAGTCTTAAGAAGCCACACTTCACTTAAAAACACTGGCTGAAGTTAGATATTAGGCAGGCCTGCCTCACTTTCCCCCAGTACACACAACCATTTCTCCATGCAAAGATACTAAAGGGAAAATCAAGATACTTTTCACTTGAAGTTATTTTATCTGGCTCTTATGAATCTTTTGGATTTGTTCATATTTTAGAAAGAGTCTGAGAAACTAATTGATCTAATCACTTAACTTTCCTATTCCAGCCAGATGTAAGGGTAGGGTGCAGTTAATACTATGTGGACAATATCTTGATTTTGGCATAGAACTGAACTTAATGTGTAAAGCATTCTTGCAAATAGCCATTTTCCAAGCCAAGTTCAATTTCTGTGAGAAAAGTAGTAAAGAATCCAGATTTCACAAATGTTAGTTCCCTTATCAGTAGGCAAGGAACTGGATTCATCATTAATGATTACTACAAATACTATGTATTTAGCATCTAACATGTGCCAAGTATTGGGCAAAGGGTTTCATATGCATGATCTCATTTAAGCCTCACAATAAAACTATGATACATAAGCCTGAAGGTTAGAGAGGCTTAATGGTTTGCCTAAGACTATTCAGATAGTCAGTGCCAGAGCTGGGATTTAAACCCAGGTTGAGTCAACCCCACAGCCCATGCTCTTAACCATCATATTCGACTATACATCTATCGGGGATAAGATGGGAGAAATTTTACCATTGTTTACAAGGCTATTGTCCAATAAAAAGTAATCAAAATGAGTAAAATTAATTTTTCAGGAGGTAGAGACCTAATTGTCTCACCGAAGTTTTTGAAGTGATGGAATGAAAAAAAAGTTCATTAGTTTTAAATTGAACCACTCCATTCTTATGTGGAGTGGTTTCAAATCAAGGTAAGAGGGGAAAACAACAACAAGAAAATGTTTTCAAAGTTTTGCTTTTCAGAGGCTTGCAAAAGACCATTGGGAGGGCTAAAAGACACAGTACGATGTACATGGTTGAAATTCTTTGAAGTCTAGCTGAGGAGATGTATTTTTTGGTGGAAAGATATTTGATGTAATTAAACTAGATCCCTGATCTAATTAAACTCCACGGTGACAGTAAAAGGAAGGTAAGCATTACTTCACACATTTTGTTAATAGGAAAGGTGAAATATTAATGTGATATTGCTTGTCACATAGGAAGACAATGATAGCAGAAGTAATAGGAACATGGGGCTCTTAGTGCCAGAAGAGACTCCCTGTTCACAATTTGTGATTTCTAAACATCAATAAGCTTTGCCCTAGATAATTCCAAGGCACACAATTAAAAAATTATTGGACAGTTTAAGTTGTGAGGAAAATGGCTGGTAGTCTGGCAAGACAGAAGAGGATAGTACCCTTACTCAGAAGTACTACTCCTTTACTATAATGGAAACAGATGTTGATATCTTTTAAATAGTAGTCTTGCTGTGGTGGTTACATAAAACTTCTAGATATTGACCATCTGTTACACAATGTTGTATTTGAATGCATTTACAGTTGGATGCACTTATTTACTTTACTTTTTATACTTGGGATAACGTGCTGGTAAACTCATTCACATAAATGACTGAAAACAAAACAAAACAAAAGCACATTGGTATTATGTGCCCAAAAGCACTGATACTTAAAAACCCATAACACCCCTCCTTCCAACCAAATCAAGGGTAGGATTCTTGCCATTTCTTCTAAAAGACTGTATTATTTAGCATTGCATCAACTAGATACTTATTCACCAGCACTGTTGCATATCTAAGTAATTAAGGTTCTTCATAATGACCTTGAGACCCTGTCCAAATCCCAAAGTACATTCCGTAGCATAAAGAAAAGATTAGGTTATGCTCAGTGTAGTTTTATTGTTAAGTATTTTTTACTGAATGCACATTCTTTGAAAATTGGTGATCCATTGCTATCTCTGCACTTGCCAGAATATTTCATGAACTATAATACATAATCCCTTCCTCAGCCATGCCAGAGAACACAATACCAAGAAAATAAGAAGTTTGCTATTCTATTTGCTTGCAGGGGCCCTTTTACAAGTGAGGAGCTGATTACTATCCTTCCAAAAAGCTCAGAGGACCAAAATGTCTTTACCTGTTGCATTCCTTGCAGGGCTTGCTGCAGGAGTTTCAGCTGCTGTTCCTTGTTTGGGTCATCTTCTCTGTGGGCTTTGCCTTGTTCTTGCTTTAGCAGTTCCACCTCATTCCGGTAGGCATCAAGCTGCCAACGGAGGCTGTCATTTTCTTCTTTCAGAGCTTCTGCCTGTGATACTAAGGCTAAACAATCAATACAAAGGAGTAAAAACCATATATCCAGATTCCGTTGTGGTTCACCTTAGTACCATGAAAACTTGGTGTTTTAAATTGACATGTATAAAAAGCCTCTCAATGAGAAACTTTAGATCTGAGTTGGCCATGGTAGCAAGAGATGGACACAAAAGCACAAAGACTCGTTTTTGTAAATGAACACAGAATTCCAACACACAAAAGTCCTCGTTGTGTTTCAAATTCTTCACCTCAAACATCACTAAAATATTTCTAGGTAACATCAGTTACTTTTACTTGAAATGCTGCAAATAATAAGAGCCTGTAATAATAAAATAGAAGGCTAATTGTCTTGAACTGATGACTGTCCACACAATAATTTGGCTGACAGTTATTTTTTAAAAGTGCAGCCTTAACTGATCCTATAGAGGAAAGGTAAATGTAAAAATTAAGACACAAGACTTCCTGGGGAATTCCCTGGTGGTCCAGTGCTTAGGGCTCTGTGCTTTCACTGCTGAGGGCCCGGGTTCGATCCCTGGTTGGGGAACTAAGATCCCACAAGCCGTGCATTGAGGCCAAAAGAAAAAAAACTTCCTGTTTATGGTCTAGCATGTAAGGAGCTTAGAAGTCACCACTCCATCCTAACAACAAGTAAAAAGCTGAACAAACTGAAAAAAACCAACAATTCTTCTTAGATACAACAGAGAAGTGAAGTAAGAGGGCAAACTCATACACCCAAAATTGGAGAGACAAACAGGTGAATACAGAGAATCACAACTTACCAGACCAGAAACCCATGAGCAGATATCGCCACAGGAAACAGTGCCAAGGTAGGAAAGCCTAAACTGTACTTGGCAATTTGCTGTAGGCTCAGTGTAAATAAGTCTGAGAGTTAAAAACTCGAGGGAGACCCAGTCATAGCTAGGTCCCTACACTTTTGTGAGTTTTATCTCCAGGGGCTCCACCTGGTCCTCAGAGTGAACACTGGAGAAAAATTCCTATGTGCTTCCAGCAGGGGAGGGGAAAAAGAAACCCTCTTGAGATATGCCAGAGCATCATGTTCTTCTTTAAAAGGGCTGCCTTCATAAGAAATGATTTTACCATAGCCTAACATACTGGGGTAGTACCAGAGCCTAACCAACCCAGGGAACCAACCAGCTCCAGACCCCTCTAGCCATTCTGTCCCACCTAAAGGGGGAGAAAAAACTGAGAAACACTTGTGAAGTTCAAAGTCCAGAGGTAGAGGCTCACTAAAAGACTGAGACCTAATCATAGGACTATAAAATGATTCTCCTCCCACCACATCTTACCACAATACCACAAAAGTCCTATTTAACAGAGTTCCTTTCACCTAGTACATCATGTCCAGATTTCAACAAAAAATTACAAGGCATACTAAAAAACATAGTTTGAAGAGACTGAACAAGGATCAGAACCAGAGTCAGATATGGCAGAAATGTTGGAGTTATCAGACAGGGAATTTAAAACAACTATTATTGGGAATTTGCTGGTGGTCCAGTGGTTAGGACTATGTGCTTTCACTGCTGAGGGCCCAGTTTCAGTCCCTGGTTGGGGAACTAAAATTCCCACAAGCTGCATGGCACAGCCAAAAAAAAAAAAAACACAACTATTATTAATATGCTACAGGCTTTAATAGAGAAAGTAGACAACATAGAAGAACAGATGGATATTGTATACAGAGAGATGGAAATTCAAAGAAAGAATCAAATAGAAATGCTAGAGATCAAAAACTCTAACAGAAATGAAAAATCCCCTTGATGGACTTATTAGTAGATTGGGCATGGCTGGGGAAAGAATTTCTGAGCTTGAGGATATGACAATAGAAACCTCCTAAACTGAAAAGCAAAAAGAAAAAAAAATTACCCCCCCAAGAACAGAAAATGCAAGAATTGTGAGACAATTACAAAGATGTAATGTATACATAATGAGAATATCAGAAGGAGAAAAACGAGAGAAACAGAAACAATATGTAAAATAATAATGACTGAGAACATGTCTGAATTAATGTTAGACACCAAACCACAGATGCAGGAATCTCAGAGAGCATCAAGCAGGATAAATGCCAAAACATATTCAAATTTCAGAAAATCAAAGAGAAAGAAACAATATTGAAAGAAGCCAGAGGAAAAAAACACCTTACCTATAGAGAAGCAAAGATAAGAATTACATGCTACTTCTCCTCAGAAATCATGCAAGCAAGAATAGAATAGAGAGAATAGTCAAAGTGTTAAGAGAAAAAAAAATCCACCAACTTAGAATTCTGTACCTTGTGAAATTATCCTTCAAAAGTGAAGGAGAAATACTTTCTCAAAGAAAAATTGAGGGAATTTGTTGCTATTAGGCCTGCCTTGCAAGAAATGTTAAAAGAAGTTCCTAAGACAGAGGAAAAATGACATAAGTCAGAAACTTGGATCTACATAAAGAAAGGAAGAACATTAAAGAAGGAAAAAGTGATGGCAAAATAAAAACTTTAATTTTTCTTATTCTTGAGCTAACAGATAATAGTTTGTTCAAAATAATACTGACAATGTGTTCAATTATGTATGCTTGTGTGTGTGTGCGCATGTGTGCGCTTATGTATAAGTGAAATTAATGACAGCAATGATATAAGGAATGGGAGGAAGGAATTGGGATTATGTTATCATAAGGTATTTGCACTACCCACAAACTGGTATAGTGTTATTTGAAAGTGGATTTGGATTAGTCATAAATATAAATTGCAAATTCTAAGGCAACCACTAAAAAAGTAAAAAAAAAAAGAAGTATAACCAATATGCTAACAAAGAAGAGAAAGTAGAATCATATAAAATGCTCAATTAAAACCACAAAGGGCTGGGAAAGTGTAGAAGACAAAAGGAAGAACAAAGAACAAGAGCAATAAATAGAAAACAGTAACAAATATGGTGGATATTAATCCAACTACATCAATAATCATTTTAAACATCAGTGGTCTAAATACAATTAAAATTCAGAGATTGTCAGAGTGATAAAAAAAACAAGAAACAACTATAGTGGTATCTTTAAGAAACACACTTTAAATATAAATATACATATAGATTAAAAGTAAAGGAATGGAGAAAGATACTATGCTAACACTAATCAAAAAAAAGTAAGAGTAGCTATATTAATTTTAGACAGAGCTGACTTCAGACCAAGGAAAGTTATCAGGGCTAAAGAGGGTATTACATAGTGATAAAGGGGTTAGTACTACAAGAAGACATAACAAACAATGTGTATGAGCCTAATAATAGTGTGTCAAAATAAGTGAAGCAAAAATCTGGTAGAACTGCAAGGAAAAAATAGATGAATCCACTATTATAGAGACTTCATACCTCTCTATCAAAAGTGGAACAATCCAGTAGGAAGAATATCAGTAATGACACAGTTGAACTCAACAGCACCATAAATTTACTGGATACAGTCGACATGTATAGACTGTTTCATTTAACAAAGGCAGATTACACATTCTTCTCAAGCACACATGCAACATGCACCAAGATAGATTACATTCTGCATCATAAAACACATCTGAACACATTAAAAGAATAGAAATCACACTAGGTATGCTATCAGACCACAATGAAATTAAACTAGAAATCAGTAACAGAAAGGTAGATGGAAAATTCCAAAATACTTGGAGATCAAACAACACACATCTAAAAGGCACGAGTCAAAGAAGAAATCTCAAGAGAAATTTAAAAATATTTGAAATAAATGGAAATAAAAACACAACTCTCAAAATTTGTGAGATGCAGTGAAAGCCATGCTTAGAGGGAAATGTATAGCATTGAATACATAGATTAGAAAAGACCTAAAAAGAAGAAAGATCTAAAATCAATTATCTGAGCTTCCACCTTAGGAACCTAGAAAAAGAAGAGCGAATTAAATCTAAAGTAAGCAGAAGAAAAGATATCATAAAAATAGATCAGAAATCAATTAAATAGAAAATAGGAACTCAACAGAAAATTTATGAAACCAAAAGCTGGTTCTTTCAGTAAAATTGATAAACCTCTAGCCAGTTTAACTAAGAAAAAAATAAAGAAGACACAAACTACTAATGTCCAAAATGAAAGAGAGGATATCACTATAGATCCTATGGACATTAAAAGGATAATAAAGGAATATTATGAACAACTTTATGTCCAACATTTGATAACCTAGATGAAGTGGGCCAACTCCTTGAAATACACAATCTGTTAAAACACACACAAGAAGTAAACATGGGAAGGAAATCTAAAAAGTATATGTATATGTATGGCTGATTCACTTTTCTGTACAGCAGAAACTGACATGGCAGTGTAAAGCAACTATACTCTAATATAAAAAAGAAGTAGACAGGGCTTCCCTGGTGGCGCAGTGGTTGAGAGTCTGCCTGCCGATGCAGGGGACACGGGTTTGTGCCCCCGTCTGGGAAGATCCCACATGCCACGGAGCGGCTAGGCCCGTGAGCCATGGCCTCTGAGCCTGTGCATCCGGAGAGGGGCCACAACAGTGAGAAGCCCACGTACCGCAAAAAAAAAAAAAAGACAACTTGAATAGGCCTCTATCTCTTAATGAAATTGAATCAATAATTAATAATTCTCTAAAACAGAAAGTACTAGGCCCACATAAGTTTACTACTGAATTCTTTTAAACATTTAAGGAAGGAATAATACAAAATTTCTACAATCTCTTCCAAATGATAGAAACAGAGGGAATACTTCCTAACTCATTCTATGAAGTCAGCATTCCCCTGATACCAAAACCATACAAAGACATTACAAGAAAAGAAAGCACAGACTGATAACTCTCATGAACACAGATGCAAAAATCCTCAACAAAATATTAGTAAATCAAATCCAAGAATGTATTAAAAAGAAATACACCACAATCAAGTGGAATTTATCCCAGGTATGCAAGGGTGGTTCAACATTCGAAAATCAATTAATGCTATCCATTACATTAACAAGTTAAAGAGGTTAAAGTCACATGAAAGTATCAATAGATGCCAA